TGCCCAGCAGAAGGGAATCAGAAATACATTACAGAAGCACTATTAAAGGTCCTCCATTTGATTTAATAGATATTGAATTGAAAGGCAATAATAATTTTTTTAAAATCGAAAAACATCCATTTTAAGCCTGTGTTTTGAGAATGATTTTGAGGCAGGTTGTGTCTAGTTTGCTCTCTTTAATAAAGGGCTAATGTAAGGGCTAACATTTAATAAAATATGAGAGAAGTATACAGCTCACAGCCATAATAGTATGGACATTTGGTTTTTTCCATGGCTTAGCCGCCTAGAGTAGCCGTAAGACCAGATAGGCGGGATATAAATAAAATAAATAAAATTAGTACACAAATCTCACACTATTAATGTAGACACTGCTTGTTTTAAGTTGAGTTTGATACAAACAATAGCTATATTAATTTTTAAAGTAAGTTTTTACCTTTGTGTTATATTTGTAAGAAAATACACAGAAAAACAGGGCATTATGTTTTTTTAATTGATTATTAAGTGAAGTCATATCATGTAATTAGGACTTCAGTTATATTGAATATGTACTTAGAGGATACTGCCTGGGCATTGGATTTTTAAATATATACCATCTTTACATCATATGACATAAGAAACACATGCCAGACTGTTGGCCATTCTAGTCCTTTGTTGTCTACCATGGGGTGGGGAAGTTCTAGCTGATGAAGACTTTGGATCCAGTCCATTGCCTCTCTGCTCAGTGCCATCTTCCGTGACTCAATTATCCTTAGGAACAAGAAATGGGACCTTTTCCCCTCTAAGGTTAATTGGCAGAAACTGTGGAGGGAGGAAGGGATCAAAAGGGGCAGGGACCGTAGAGAAATAAGAACAGAAGGAGAGAGTAAAGAGTGTTGCTTTGACACTGCACATTCTTGGCTTTGGCCATACCATTCACATGTAGCACCCACAACCTCATGCATGAGGGAATGTGACTCTTCAATAGAAAAATACTTCCTCCCCTGTCTAGCACTGTCCGGCAGAAGGTAACTAAACTCACTGGCAATAGCTTTTTAAGATTTCAAGCAAGCATCTGATTGTCTCCTAATCGGAGGTGCCAAGGGTTGAATCTGGATCTTTCTTCCCAGAAGTCACATATACTCCCTAACGTATCTAAATAGTTCCTTGCGAAAAGGTATGAACTGCTGGATAGCTCAGTGGTTTAGGAATCTACCTGCAGAACCAGAGGTTCAACTCCCCACAGTGCCTCCTCGATAGAGGCTGGACTAAATGATTCAGAGGGCCCCTTGCAGGTCTGCAGTTCTTAGATGATGATGATTATAATAGGTTCCCAATGTTTAGCATCTGATACAGCTGCATCCCTTAATTCTTTTTCAATATTTTTCCTGCCCCCCCCCCCATTCCCCTCCAGCAAAACCATGAGTTTCATGGAGGGAGAGGAGATCTCCAAATGACGTTCCTTTTCTTTTTCCAGCACACTTGCCTAAAATCTTAAAAAGCTTTCATCTCCTACAGCTTCACCCTTTCCCTTCCTTTCCCCCCTCAAGCTCTCTTTCCCCATGTCTTTTTCCAAGCATGAAATACTTTTAAGAAAAACTAAACAGCTTCAAAACCAATTTGTAGAATATAATGATTTCAGGTTATATGACTCCACTGGCTGAGGCCTTTGTTGTGAACAGTCTGAAGTTTTATGTGGCTTTGGTCTTTTTTTATTTAAAAGAAAAGTTTGGATTATAGTTTTTAAATAAGGGAGACAGCTGAAAGTAAACATTTCCTGACCATCTCAAGTAGATTAGGAGATTCCAATGCTTACAGCATAGCAGTTTCCAAAAATATTTTTATGGATAGAGTCACCGTAGTGTTAGAATGACCTAAAAGAGTATCAAAGACTGCAAGGTTAACACATAAAATGATAGGGTGTGCGGACAGCTGAATAATAACATAGACTTCCCCCCTATTTTACCTATTGTCGTAGAGTTTTGTGCTTATCTATGGATTTGTCAGTCATGATGAATTAAGACCTAGAAATAATATCACAAGAGTAGCCCAGGTTCCAAAAGAACACATTTAATTATTTTCTGGGTGATTGATTTTCTTAGTCTTATAATGATTTCTGAAAGATCTTCAGTTGGAAAACTAACAGTAGTTTTCACTCCCCATAGTTGTATTCTTTTTAGTCAAAATGTTCTCTACTGTTTGTAGTAGAGGGCACAGGTATACTTTTTGAACTTTCCCCAATTAACCCCCCTACACACACACACTTACTTTTTGTGGGGTGCTAGGAATCCCACAGGTTCTTGGGTCTGCATTTGGGGCTGGGGTGTGTATACATCAGTCTGCAAACATGTTGCCTTGCCCTGGTTTAGTGTTGCATCTCAACGCTGCAATGAGTAGTTATTATAAGCATGTGTAATTAGAAAATTTATTATAAGAATATTGAAACTCTCTCAGACTGAATCAGATCTAACCTAATGTTGTTAACACTAACTGGTAGCAGTGCTCTAAGGAGTTACAGTACGTCAGGATCACTTCTTGCTCTACGCCGTGGTATGAAAGATTGAATATAAGGCCTTGTACATGCAAAGTAGATGCTATATCATTTCACTACTGGGCCCGTGATCTGATATTTAGTTATTCATTTATGCTCTGCTTTATTGCTCATCAGGTTGTCAAAGTATTCCGTATGGTTGCAGAATAGATAATTTTGACTTTCTCATGTATTCCAGGTAGCAATATCCCCACATTGTTCACCACCTCTCTGTTCTACCATTGCTGTGCCATTTGGTTCATCCTTCCCTTTTATAGTCTCCTAGTATTTTCCATGCATGCCAGGGTCACACACTTTTTTTAAAAAAACAACTGTCTGTCTTGATAGTGGTTAAAGATTTATTATAGCATATACATTTTTAAAAGTCTTGTAATTCTAAAATACACTCCTTTTTCTCAGTGAGATCTTGTTGTCAAACAAGGAGCCTAGGAGCTCCACAGTCAGAGCATTCTGCATTTGCCTGGTGATATCCACCTTGTAGTTAAACCTGATGGAGAGCATCCCATTGCAAATAACAAGGTTTTTTCCTGGTGTAAGGGGTTGCAGCAAGGAAAGGAGCTGTGCATAAAACTGCTTGTTCTATGTGTAGTTGTTAAGCAGCAGGGTAGAAATAATAATAATATAGTGTTCCATCAGATAGGTTCCAACTTATGGGACTTTGCCAAGGTTTCCTAGATAAAAAGTAAACAGAATTGATTTACTGTTCTGGGGTGCTCTGGGACTGTGCAGCTTGCCGAAGGCTACACAGGGTGGTTCTTCTTCCAAGGGACACAGCAGGGAATTGAACTCCCATATTCTTCTAAGTCACTGATCTATCCAGCTAGCTATAACAGAATACCGGTGTTTCTTTCTACATTTGGATGTATTCAACATGTGAGAATTAGGCCTTGCCAAATTTTCTCTGATTAAAAGGGCTCTCTGCTCTTCAGCCCAATTCATTGTTTAGGTGGCATAGATTTTTGTTTTGCCTTATGGATATTCAGTTTCTCCACCTTTTAAGATGCCTTAGTGCTTTGCATTGTGATCTTTGTACCACAAATCTTTCTTGATGTGCAATGAACAGATCTTCAAAGTAATAAGCTACAAATAGGTAATTATTTGTAATTAATTCTTTTTTTTCAGTAATGACAGCAAAATTACATTATATGGTGATTTTAATGCAAAGAGAGATAACTTCATTCCCTCTGCAGTCTAATTGTAGGTTTTTAATCATGTTTACTGTTATAGGAAGGGTGGCATGATTAAATAGTTGTAAAGGAGGATCACATAGTTTAAATGCTGCTTTGTGCTGTGCGTTAATGCTCTGCTGTGGGTGCTGGGGCATGGGAGTGTAGTATATTTTTTACCCCAAGGCAGCACCTTTTAGTGCTCAAGTGATTTTGTAAAAGTAAATAAAAGTGACCAACAGTTATCTTTGGGTAGAAAGGGAATGTAAAGAATTCTTCAAAATCACAAAGATAATTTCATTTTGTTTTAGTGGAATGGGGCTGAACAGTGTTTGGGACTGTAGCTAATTACTATTTTAAGGTAACTTTTCTCATAACAAATGAAACAATTGCTGTCTCTCATCCCACACAGTCTAGTTGAATGTTCTTTTAAAAAATTTTGTCTTGGAGGTTGAACGGCATGATGACTCTGTTTACTTTGGCCAGTTAATCAACATAATGCCAACTAATTGAATAATGACATGTTTCCTGATGTTTGAAGTATAGTAGGTAACACACCTCACTTACCTCCTTCATTCATGTCAGAAGCAATCCAGTGGTGCTTTTAGAGTGGAAGGATGAGTCAACAGGTTCTGTTGTTGCTCAAGGGACATACAAATGTAGGCCTCACATTCTTTGTGAAGGCTCTTTGAATGTGTTTGTTTACTTACATTTACACATAAATCAAAAACACTTGGGGAAAGTCCAGTTATGTATCCCTCAACTGAAATGCACCAAGATGCAGTGCTGCCATGTACATAGGGATTGAAGAAATACAGCCACTTGCTTCTCTTTCATGCAAAATTAGGGTGAGGATAATATATGACATTTATGTAGGGGTTCTGCAAAGAATTCTTTACAGGATCAATAGCCAATTCAACAAAGAAGGTGCTTCTTTTTTTAGACTGATGGTATTAAAAGAAAGGTGGACTGTTGCAATGACCATATTGTGGGAATTATTTTTATTTGTGAGCTATGGGGATGGTTTAGATATCTGGCTGTGGAGCTAGAGGTTTGTAATTTGATTCTTCGCTGTGCCTCCTCCAAGGAGAGCCAGCCTGTGTGGCCTTGGGCAAACTGGACAAAACAACCCACAGAAGAAGGGAATGGTAGACCACGTCTGAATATTCTCTACCCAGACAATCCTGTAAAGGTTGCCATAACTTCGAATTGACTTGACAGGTCATGATTATTATGGTATTGTTTATTTTCACTGAATTACTGGTGTCTGTATTATGCTTCATATTTTCCCATTTGATTTCTTGCAGGGTGACTTCACTTGGAACAGCATGTCAGGGCGCAGTGTTCGACTGAAATCTGTTCCTGTTCAAAGCCTTTCAGAATTGGAGCGTGCCCGGCTGCAGGAAGTGGCCTTTTATCAGTTGCAGCAGGACTGTGACCTAGGATGTCAGATAACTATTCCTAAAGGTATGGGTGAATCATAAAATAATTCATTTTTGTTAGTTTCCATGGACATTTTAAAGTTATTTGTCAGTTGCTTTTTTTAAGTCGCTGGATAAAGTCACAGCATATCAACAGCTTTATTTTCTCAGGGATTCTGTTCCATGGATGTTAATGACTAATGTAGTCTTGGGAAAGAATATGATATTACTGGTAATGTGGCATTAGATCCCCAGGAAACTAGTGACTTGTTGATATGGCTTTGCTCATGGTTGAGATGGGGGACGTGTTGCTTTAGGCAGTGCTAGCACCTAACTCTGGCCCTTGTCACTGTATTCGCTTTTTTCCCTAGAGAATTACAGGCCTTGGGAATCTACAAAACAGGATTTTGGTGGTTCTATTATGTGTTCTGTGTTATTTAATAAACTGACTGCACTGCATGCATTGCTTTAATGTACTGCTGTTTTGAATCTCCATATTTTTTTTGAAAATATGTAAAGAGCCTGACAAGAAGTATTCCATTTAATTCTTCCTTCTTGTTCTTGTTTTTGAGTCTTGCTATAAAATGCACAAGATATTGATGCTTCTTTGCTTATATTTGATTAGTCAGTTGACTGATTTTGATTGACCAACTGGTGCTGAACCATTAGTAGATTAAAAGGATAATCTTTGAGCAAGCCGTGTTCTAATGAAGCAGAAAGCCATTTAACATGCAGAACTTCTATTATGCAGTGCTTGGTTCTGTGCCCAGTATGTTTCTGTTCAGCTATGAATAAAAATGGGAATGTGCTTTCTGCTTGTGTTTATATTGGCACAGAGTAGATTATTTTGGAGGTTTGTTTACATTGGTCTTTGTTGTATTTAGTAACCCATTTGTCTTATACATTGAGGGTGACCATGTACTCTCAGTACTTTATTGCTTGCTGTTTTTGTTTTGTATTTAGTGACTATTGCTGTTGTTGTATGCCATCAAATCACCCCCAACTTATGGCGGCCCTATGAATGAGAGATCTCCAAAATGCTCTGTCCTCAACAGCCCTTCTCCACTCTTGCAAACTCAAGTCTGTGACTTCCTTTATGATTAACATTTCTGTGTTTTTCCTACAAAAAGGGAAGGAACTGTTTCCAACATTTGTTAAGTGGTGCCCCAGTTTCCAAATGGACATAAAATTTGAGTTATAGTAAGGCTTATTGCCCAACTCCACCCTTATCTAGATGACAGTTCCCTCAGGATGCTGGTGCATGCACTGGTCACTCCAAGATTGACTATTGCAGTGCTGTCTACATAGGGCTTCCCTTGAGGACAATGGATCCAGAACTTGGTGGCCAGACTGGTAGCTGGTGTGAAAAGATTTGGTCACAGCACTCCAGTTTTGGCTGGTCACTCATTGTGTCCCAGATCATCTTCAAGGTTTTGATGCATATAACGCCCTTCATGGTTTGGGGACATGCTACTTGTTGGAGTGTTTCTCCCCAGTGTCATCTGCCTACCTGATCATCCCAGTGTATACTCCTCTAGGTAGCCACTCTGAAAGAGTGCCCAGATGTCATCTATGAGAAGCCAGGCTTTCTTTGCAGTGCATGGACCATGTGGAACTAGCTCCCGGTGGAGCTACGTCCAACCCCCTCGCTGTTAACATTTAGAAAGTACAGTGGTGCCTCGCTTGACAGTTACCTCATTAGATGAGGAAATCGCTTGACAATTAGTTTTTTGCAATTGCTATTGCGATCGCTAAATGATGACTGAATGGGCTTTTTTTACTTAACGTTTATTGGTTCCCTGCTTCGGGAACCGATTTTTCGCTTAACGACAATCAAAAACAGCTGATCGTCGGGTTGCAAAATGGCCACCCGCTGTGCAAAATGGCTCCCCGCTGTGCTTTAGGATGGATTCCTCACATTACAGGCACCGGAAAATGGCCGCCCTATGGAGGATCTTCACTGGACACTGAGGTATTTTGCCCATTGGAACACATTGAACCGGTTTTCAATGCATTTCAATGGGCTTTTTCGTTTCGCTTGATGCAGATTTCGCTTAACGGTGATTTGAACAGAACGAATTATCCTCATCAAGTGAGGCACCACTGTAGCTTAAAATGTTGCTCTTCAGGGAGGCCTTCCACATTGACCTTTCTCGAATTTATGCCTCTTTTCCTGCTGCCACATAAATAATTTGCCTTTGGTCCCACTTGCTTTTATCTGTCTAAATGTTTCCCCCCCACTATTTATAGTTTATTGTTATGTGTCTATATATTTATTATATTGTAAACTGCCCAGAATAGTGACATCTTACTAATGGAGCATTTAAGTAAGTAAGTAAGTAAGTAAGTAAGTAAGTAAAATGTGACAGTTGTCATAGAAGGTTTGGACCAAGCACTGTTTTCAGCCACTGGTTCACGTACCACTTATGAGAGGAAGAGTTAGTCTAGGTGGGATGCGGAATGCAAAAAATTGTTCCCCCACCATCTCTGTATCTTCTTGCCAGTGTGATGTCCCATCTTTTACCAACAATATATGTAATCTCCTTCCATGTTAGTAGCAACTCTGAATATGCTTCTTCTCCTCATCTCTCACTTCCCTTGCTCACCCATTTTATGCTTGTGACCTTTCAGAAGTGGCTTTTTGTTTCTATTGTGATGTCACTCAGGTTCTTTAATTGAGTGATGGGTGGGATGTAAGGTACAAAAGGTTGAGAACCATTGGTTTAGAGAAAATGCCAGTCCAGAACCTTGGACTGCCATCTCAAAGTGGAACAAAATAGCAACGAGAAACTTTCAGTGATTATATGGTCTACATAAAGACCATCCACACGGCAGTATAAATTGGCAGATGCATTTTTTTTTCATTCTCTTACATAAGCCAACATAGAGAAATCAATATCTGAAGCATTCTGGCACAGGTTCATTTCTTATGGCGACACAGGCTAGATCCAGATCAATATGGCCTCGAGAGCTGCTGCTGTAGACCTCTAGGCGGTATAGTGCACCTTCATATTGTAGGTATTGTGAGAAAGGTGTGGTCTGCACAGATCTTGGTGGACTCTGCAGGCCAGGTGGTTGTGCACAGTTGTTTCCACTAGAGCAGCCATTCTCAACCTTTTCTTGACCATGGCCATAAACACAATATGAAAGAAATATAGGCTGGATCAGAAAGTAGTATGTGGAGAGTTGTTTCCAGTCTGTGCCCCCCTTCAAATGTGCCAGGGCCCCTCAGGAGGGCATATGGCCCCCATTGAGGATGGCTGATGTACAGCATTTCGTTTTTCTTCTCTTCTCTCTTCAGTCAGTCACTAAGTGGCTGAATGGCATTAGGCTCTATTAATCACTTTTTCTTTTTCTTTTTGTTTTCCCCCAAAGCTTCATAAGAAACGTGCAATAAAATAAGTAAAAGCAATCTCTGAAAAAATGAACTAAAAACCATTTTTAAAGCCAGTTTTTACCACCAAGTCCATATGGAAGAGTACAGTTCTGACGGGCTGTCAGAAGTCCAGTAAGGGTGGAAATGGCTTGATTTCACTTAGGAAGGGGTTATAGAAATGAGGAGCTGCAGTAGAGAAAGGCTGGTCGCATGTGCTTGCTAGCCTGCTCCTCATGGGGGTGAGACATGCAGCAGAGCCTACAGTGAATATTTCAAATTCCAGATAGGCTCCTATGTGAAGGGGGCATTTTTCCCCATTTTTCCCAGCTCCTAGTTATTTAGGGCTTTTTATATCAAAATCAGGACCTTAGAAACGAGCTTAGAAATCAATTGGAAGCCAGTGCAGTTGTTTCAGTCAAGCCATACAAGGTTTTTAAGAGTGCACACACAATCTGAGCACAGACTTGTTCACTGCCCATAGCTTCCAAATACTTCCATACTTCCAAACACTTTTCAAGGCCAACTATATTGTAGAACTTGTTGTTGTTGTTCAGTCATTAAGTCGTGTCCTACTCTTCATGACCCCATGGACCAGAGCACGCCAGGCCCTCCTATCTTCCACTGCCTCCTGGAGATTGGTCAAATTGTAGAACTACCCACAGTCAAACGGAGAAGGCTCATAAAGAGCAGTTTCTTCTTCCTTACTAATAAACATACTCTCTGTTTGCCATTGGTGGAGAGAAGCAGGATTAGAAAAACAAACCAAGCAGTTTCACTCCCCAAACCTTAATCTTCTCTCTCCGTTTACAGCCTGCTTAAGTATGAAACACACTAAACTGCAGATACAGATACACTCTCAGGAGTTCTTCACTGTTTAGAACCAGTTATTCCTCCAGGACATTGCAAACCACTAGCACTGTAATCTTTAACCAACAAATCTGTTAGATTAATCTGTCCCCTTATCCCAGGTCATTTAAAAGAACCGCCCCCCTACTAAAGCAGATAGCAACACAATTTCACCTTTGCTTTTAACCAGAGTTCCACAGTGTTTGCTAGTAGGGGCATTGCCACTAAAACAAATGGCAGCTTCAGTCAAAGGACATCCCTCAGGATGTCACACAAGGGCGAAAGGGTTAAATTTCCCTAGTATGATCCCATATATCATCATCATCCTCTTCTCACAGAACACACTGGTTCTGTTTGTGTTTTTAATGCAAAGGTGCTGTGAACTCTGTACTCTTAGTTTGTTTCTTGGCATTTAGAAAAAGATAGTTTGAATGGAAAGAGGCTGAGAGTCAACCAGAACTTGTTGGTGAATACTTTCTTCTGATTTGGGCCAGTTTGTGAGAACAGCCTTTGCATAATCCATTGCTTAAACTTCTATAGCCTTCCTATGGAAATCTTTTTTTTCCTTAGACACTTTCTTTTTTTTTTTTCCTTAAACACTTTGGAAGGTTTGAGAAATGTTCGAACAAGAGAAAGTCTTTGGATTTTTCTTTAATTAAACCAAAACACTAAACAAATTATACGGAGTTGAAACAAGAGATGTGAAGAAAAGACATCTTTGTGACCATAGTCCATGTTGTCTTTCATTAAAGCATACATGCAATGATTTGGGTGTTCTGCTTTGCTTGAACATGCTTTTGTTCAGAACAACACATGTTTACTAG